TAGAAGTAAAGCTTTCAGTGGAATGGGTAGCAAGGTGAGCTTTATAATTAGTAACTCGTTTTTGATATCCCCTCTAATCCTTCATAAACTTGGACTTTATTTCTAGGTTAAGGAACTAACAATGATCTATTACATGTCCATATTATGATAATATTAGCACTATAGGTTTGAACATTTGCCTTTATGAGGTCTTGAGTTAGAGGATAGACATGGTCAGATAAGATAAAAACGAGTATTTGGGAGGATAGGATAATATCATGAGTCATAACTTTCCTACATATTTCTTCACATTGAATGGTTAGACAAACAGTTTTCAAGGATGGTGGTTTTGGGTTCATCAAGATATGGCTCCATAAATCTTTAAATTCTTGGCTAAGACTAGCTAAAAGCTGAAAATTTTGATTTTCTTATGTTCTTTTCACAAAACCATAGCATCAATAGTACGTGAGCAATACATCTCTAGTTCATTCCATAAGCTTTTCAAACTACCTAATAACTGGACAAACAGTTTTCCATCCTAATGTAGCTTGGCGATATCACGATGAATCTAAAAAATCCTAGTATAGTTATTTTGGTCACCATACATGTCATGAATAGCATTCTAAATATCCAAAAAGAACTTAAAATAATTAAAAATCTCAACAAGGTTATGCTCTAATGAGTTAAGAATCTAGGATATAACCAATTGATCTTTGGACAACCATGTCTTATATTTTGAAGCATCCACAACTAAAGAGGTTATGGAACTATTGGTATATTCTAATTTTGATCTCCCAGCAAGAGCAATAGTGATTGCCCTCGATTAAGAAAGGAAATTGAATTTATTTAGCAATACTAAACATAATCTTTGAGATGTATTGATATCACAATCGAAAAAAATAGTTAGAAAATGAATCACCTTTGAGCCTCCATCTATAAAATATTTTGTTTTGTCTTTTAAAGCAAGGAAAGGAAGAAATAAACAACAAAGACAAAGAGAGAGCAGAGAATCAATGCTCTGACACCATGAAGAAAATTAAAGAACAACAATATTATCTTATATGAATCTTGGGAATGGTACATGTATATATGAAAATAAAAAGGAAATATGAATCCTATCTTTATCTATAATATTTGCCCCATAATACATGTTGATAGGAATAACGCAATCATCTCTAATCTAGGCAACAAATAAGCTATTCTAGGCAACGACATAATTACATAGATATTCATAATGTTTTAGTATGGAATTCATTACTCATCTAATTAATTAGAATATTTTTTTAGGGTAATTTTGAGGTTTAAAAGTTTTGGTACGTAACTTGTTTAGTTTACTTTGAAGCCATATTTTCTAAATTAATCCAATAGTTCTTAATATTTTATGTTGGATTGAAATATTGAAACTTTAGGGTTTTTCTTATTTTATTATATTTGCAAGCATTTGTTTTTAATTACAAAATTAAAATATAACTGAATTAAAGAATTTTTAAATAATTCAATTATTATTTTTTAAAATATTTTGTACCAAGTAATTCAAGAAAAGAAATTTTCATATATATATAGATATGTATATATATATACATATGTATATATATATATATAACATGGAATCAAAGTTGAATCTCAACCTTAATATAGGATTGATTTATATCAACATGTTTGGAATTGTACGATCTCAATTAAGGGATGAGATGCTATAGAAAAAACAAATAAGTTAACTATTCAATAATTAAGTTAGGATCATTGTTTTAAATTTGGACCACCTAGATAGATGACTTGAGATAGCCAATTTTAAAATTAGACTAGTTCAAAATAAAAAAAAAATTGATTCATCCAGTTAAAAATTCAATAATTTGGTCAATGTTTTATTATTAACTTATTGAATTTTTTTAAAAAAAATGTTAAAACAAATTATTTTATTAAAAAATAGATCAATTTTCTTAACTTGTAATTCAAATCTTACTCTAGGTTGATCTCAAATAAGGTTTTAAGAATATGATTAAAATTAACATAAATATTATTAAAGTTAATTGATGTATGTACGTGTGTGTATGTGTATATGTACGTGCATGTGTGTAACTATGTTTATTGGGGTGGGTCTCATTGATAAATCATGTGTAATGGTGTGTATGTGTACATGTACGTGCATGTGTGTAACTATGTTTATTGGGGTGGGTCTCATTGATAAATCATGTGTAATGTTAAATAATAACATTAAAGGGGATTTTTGGTAGGTAAATGGGCTTTGTTAGATATACAACCACCCTTTGTCTCTTCTCATAAGTCCTTGGTTCTGCTGCTTCATGTTCCTTTTTTAATGTTGTCTATTCCTTAAATTACTTTATTTCTTAGTGTATTTGCATTACATTAGTAAGTCTTATTATATGATAAGTTGAATTGATAATACAATAATTCTATCCTATTTAATTAAATTTAAGGATTTAGACTTGTCCTTTAGAAGGTTTGGAAGGAAAAGAGCATACCTTACCCTTACTTAACTCTGTTGTTTTCTTCTCTCTATTATATTTTTCATCCTCTCTATGTAAGAGGTTATGGATGGTCTATGCAATGCTGTATTCTGGAAAAAAAAATTAGAGGCAAAGTTCTTTTTTTTGTGTTATTGCTTCTTTAATTTCTTTCTTGAACAGAGTTTTTGCTATTTGTTTTAATGACCACAATATTTGGTAAAACAAATATTGAATAATAAAACAAATTATGAGAAGAGGGATTATGTGATTCCAACATGAGTCCAATTTCACTAGAAAAGGTGGTGAATCTTTATAATTAACGTGAATTATTTATGCACAACATAGAAAGTGGATCTTATATGTCTTTCAAGATTCTAGATACAGAAAAACATGATTCATCTCTTATTATCCAATAACATGATTCCCCGGCAACGGCGCCAAAAACTTGAAAGAAACTAAAAGTCAAAAAAAGGAACAATCACATGTCAAACAATCCATCATTCATACATTTACTAACAAATGTGTGCACTGCAATAACAAACACGAACATGTATTTTTTTCTTGCTAGTTTAACCTTGAATATACAAATAAAATATAAATAAATAAAGAATTTAATACGAAATATTATGAGCTTTGTTTATCTTAAAAAAATAATACTTAGACAATTAGGTATATCAGAGAAGAAGTGGTGGTTGATGGACTTGGTATTATCCATGGAAAATTAGTTAATTTACATGGAAATCCTGATAGCCATTTGAAAGCTTGTGCAGCTCCGCATTCCTTGATAAATTGAAAATTATTGGAAAAAAAATAGCTGATGAAGGTTATCAAATTAATCCACAAACCTAATTAGCTTTCAATAAGAACATATTTGGGATGTTACAAATGGAAAACGTTTATAGGTGGATTAATTTATTACGAAAGGTCATCAAATGGTGATGGTGGTGATAGTAGTAGTAATACTCCTACTACTATTACTTTAAAAACTTGTGCAACTCCGCATTCTTTGATAAATAACTTTCACAACCATTTTTGAATTGAAAATTATTGGGAAAAAAATAGCTTATGAAGGTCACCAAATTAATCCACAAACCTAATTAGCTTTTGATAAGAACATGTTTGGGATGTTACAAATGAAAAACGTTTATAGGTGGATTAATTTATTACGGAAGGTCATCTAATGGTAATAGTAGTAATAGTGGTGATAGTGCTTTTAATAAGAACATGTTTGGGATGTTACAAATGAAAAACGTTTATAGGTGGATTAATTTATTACGGAAGGTCATCTAATGGTAATAGTAATAATAGTAGTAATAGTGATGATGATAATGATAGTGGTAGCAGCAGCAATGATGATAATGATAGTGCTTTTAATAAGAACATATTTGGGATGTTACAAATGAAAAACGTTTATAGGTGGATTAATTTATTACGGAAGGTCATCAAATGGTGATGGTGGTAGTGGGAGGTGGAGGAAAAATCCCTAGGATGGGAACAGCGGCAGCTGCAACAATAGTAATGGTAGTCATAATACAATGACAATAGTGGTAATAATAGTAATAGTGGGGTGGCGGTGACGGTGGTCATCATAGTAGTACAAAAATCTTAGTTTTTCTTGGTGTTTATTAACAACAATTTTTTTACAATGAAATGAAGGTGTGTAATTTTACTTTGATCCATGCTAAGGAATTGTATTTAAAAATATTTTTTAAAATATGATAAAACTGATAGCATCAAATATCAAAATAATAACTTCTATAAATGTTTTTAAATAATTATGATAAAAAAAATGTAATAATCATTAAAAGAAACATGAAATTAAGAAGAAAAAAATTATCTCAAACACTTTCACAGTAACAATAATCCTAATCCTAGATTACCAATATATATGCGTGTGTACATGTTAATGACATTCATGACATTCTTCAACCGACTTTCTTACACTTATTAAAACATATATTTGATAATACAGTGGGTCGTTTTTTAAAATATTTTTATTTAAAAATATTTTAAAAAAATATTTAAATTTTTTTATAATATTAACACATCAAAAAAAATTTAAAGAAATTAATTTAATATTTTCAAGTGAAATATACTTTTAAAACACACCATAAAATAAAATAAAAAATACTACACTTTTAAACATTTACTAAGTATATTTGATATTGTGATAATTTTTATAATTACAATTTAAAAAACAAATTAATTAACTAAATATTTTCAAAATTATAATCAAAACAAAATATAATTTTAACCAAATCGTACCACACCACACAACATTCCCTAAATTTAACTTCCCAATCCAAGTCTACTCGAAGGGAGGCCAACCAAGCAAGGTACAAGGGATGATACATGCATTTGGCTTATATTTTCAGCTTTATGCCTAGGCCTACCAAGAGAAAGTTGTCAATGAAAGACTAAGTTATTGAAAACCCTCCATGTTGTTGCAACCACCCTTGTCAATTGGACATGGTATCCAAATTCAATTTTCAATCTTTTCTTCATACATGGAGGGATTACATCTTAAACTGGGCCATGGCTTGCTTGAAAATATGTTTCGAGGGTAAAGAACTGGTGAAAATTAGAATATCTCATAAGCAAAAAGTTCTTGATCACAATAAATTTTTTTTTTTTTGAAACCATATCCACTATACTATACAATTTCATGACTGCATGAAGAGATTGTCTAGCTGCTCATTATGCATGATTACCCCTAGCAGGGCGGCAAACATGATTTCTTTTACGCGCATGGTCTTCATTATGGTGCTGTGTCCGGCAGGCATAACCATACCAGCAATCTTCCCTGTCAGCTGCTTCTGGCGGAAGGAGCTGTGATGATGCAAACACAAACACAGCATAGTTTCTAAAACTCGAAAATTGAAAAATATTCGTAGGCCACAAGTTTATACAGTGCTTAATACAATATACTTACATTTTTAGGTATTGAAATCCGGAACCAGTACAGCAGAAAGGAGATCAATTTGTCATAACAATCACTGCATTCAGAAATAAACCTAACATTTAACATTTATGATTAACCAGCAAGAGTAAAGAACAGCAATAACAGCCACAACCGCAATAATTAACCTTACATTTGTTTAAGTGGGTGTAGAGAGGAATCCACATAAAAATTGTTCATAAAGATTATATCAATTCAAAACTTGTCAAATTATCTTATCACCATGAATTTTAGTACTAACTAATTCCTCCTCTTGGAAGACTGCGGAGTTTTTGTCACTACACAGTAATTTAAGTACTAACTAATTCCACATCAAATCCTCCATATGAGAAAATAAAAGGTGAGTCCTTACTTGCAAACATGGGTTCCAACAGTTATCATCTCAGCATGATTCAGTGGCATCCTAGTTCGATCTGCAGCAAGAGTTAAAACCAACCAAAATTCAAATTCTAGTGACATTTTAGCTTGAAAACACACAAAATCCTTTCTTTCTGCAATAGAGACAACACATCATTACCCTTTTCCAACCTTTGTCCTAAAATAACCATAGAAGTTTCATGGAACATTAAGTACCAGATACTTTCCAAGATACTTCCGAATTTATTTCAAATTAACAGTACCACTAAAGATATTTATATATGTTGCTGCATCCCCTTCAGAAAAAAAAAAAACTTACACAGGGGTAACTGAATTTGGGACCTAACAAACTCAATTTTTTTAACCATTAAGTTGAGGACAAAGAATCAACCAACACACCAATTTCTCTGTTGTTCAGCTTCCCAATCCAATCTGAAATAACATCCTGCAGTGTTTTTCCCATCTGTCTGATACACCTTTGTGTGATCTATAAAAATAAAAAATGTGAGTCACTCTTATCAAACTTTGTAAAGTTGCTGCCGATTAACATTTTGGACAAGAGAAATTCATACATCCTGTTCATGCCGGTTTTTTTCATGTGCCAAAAATGGAATCCTAGAGACAGCATGCTCTGAGATCTGCAAAGCACAAGATTATGGAATATTAACAAAAGCATACAGAGCCTAAAATGTTCACAAACCTGATGCCTCCAGAAGAAAAGGCATCTTATTGTTATGGAGAAATCACAATAAAACTTTGAAATTATCATGGTTTCCATAGAACAACTAAGGCCAGGCAATTAAAGAAAGAGTAAATAAGGATCATGGAAACAAAATCTAATCACAAATCTAATCAGATTAAATAAAAATAAGTGCTCAAATAATCTAGAAGAAAGAACTTTTGTTTGCCAGAAGAGGCAAGAAATGTTGAATAGTAAAGAGAAGATATACACACAAGAAAAAACAAATCTGCAAGAAACTCCATATCTGGTGTAATAGATTAAGTCAACAGCATCATCCTCTGTAGCAGAAGGTAGGAACACCAATGAACTATTTAGAGACAGGTGCATTAAGTCAATGCCCAAAGTTCTAAAAAAATGAAAAAAAATATTTAAAAGGTAAGATACATGTGAGAAACTGGGATTGTGAGAGACAAACAATTAAGGGGCTAGGAATATGATATACATGTGAGAAACTGGGATTGTGAGATAGACAAACAATTAAGGGGCTAGGAATATGCCATGCAGGTGGAGTAAAATTATATAGAAAGGGTTTAGACCAATAGAAATAAGAAACTGACAAATGAAAAGACACTTCTCAAAGACACATACAGGGAGAGTTGTCCACATGATATCAATCCTATTGCAAGTGAGAACTGTTTAGAAAGGACTGCAACTAGAAAAGACTAAGAATAAAAGAGCACATACTGGTTTAAAATTCTCATGGCTGCAGTGAGAGTCACTTCTGGAAACACCTTGAGCATGCCAATAGGCACCACAAAATACTCTATCACATCCCAAACCTGCAAGAAGGGAGGAATTAAAAAGGAATTATATCTACTTTCAGTAAGCTCACAGTTGATAAAATAGTGCTGATCCAATATTATTTCTCCTCAAAATTAAATCTATAGACTCAAAAGAAAACCTAAGAATTCATTAATAATTTGAAGCTTTCTCTTAGCTTCAACACCAACTTTAACAGACTTTATTCAAAGGATTGATGAGCATAAAATATGGAAAAGGGGGCCTGAATTAGAAAAATAAATAAGAGAAACGTAAACCCAACACTTTATCCAAGAATAATTAAGCACAGGCAAATCATGACACATACAGTGCTGTGGTACTCCAATATCAGCTCGAGAAGGCATCATCCCTCCACAGGCATGGCACTGTAAGTGAATTGTATTCTGATTGCAGTGGAAGCCACTGTACTCAGTACCTGCTTGGTATTATTGAACAATCAGATAAATGATGGATCTTAAACAAAAGGACTGCATATTAGAAACACGTCCAAGGCTAACATTCTTATAACCAGTTATTTAAAGTTTAAAATGCAAAAGCATTTATTCACATGATTGACCGCTCTCAAGAATGAAAACATGCATAAGATTATGTAAAAAGCACCAGAGTCAAATTAAACAAAGAAAACAAAGAAAAAGAAAACAATGATGAATAAAATTTCTAACTGAAACTATTTTCCTGCTCTTTGATTAGCAGCACTAGCATCTCATATGCAACATAGAATTCTGTCAAAAATTAAAGGTAGAAAAGTAAGTTTTTGTTGTACAAGAAGCTCCAAGTACCATTCATTTAGTATGGAAGCTAACTTTTTCATTTAGACTCCCGCAGCTGATGATAATCCTGTTTGTGAGCACGTGTAATACATCCATGAAAAAGGAACAAGAACAAGAATATCGAGGTGGCTACCACTACCCATGACAGTCGCATCATTGTCACACTAGCATAGATATCAACACCCATCACCATCTTGTGTCAGTTGGTTTCAATTCAGTAGAATGTAACAAACTCAGACATGAAAACAACAGAGCTTTAGTTTTACCTAGGGTTTCTTCCCATGTTCAAGAACCCTATGAAGACTCTGTTCAAATTCTCATAACAGATCAGTAAAATAGATGCATTTGGAAGGAACCCAGCACAAATTATCTAGAACACAATGGAGAAGAAGTTGAGAATGATATCAAAATGACCATGACCATGATATCAAACACATAAGGAATGATCTTTGATTGATTGATCTACATGAGGATCCAAGCTTCAGCAGTTGTGTGTATGGAACACCATTATAACAAGTTGTGCACCAGAAATTGGCTCATATTTTTCTTCTTTAAGAATAGAACACACTATTTTCCTTCCAAGGGTTCTAGTATTGCCAAACAATCATATTCCAGAAAATGATGTGATTTACAAACATGTAATTGCAAGAGAAATTAAAACTATTACCACATTGAGGACATGGGAAATCTGCAACTTCATTTTCAGCATCCAAAATTGAGTGTGGCCTCTTTTGACGACGCTTTTTTCCAGTTTGAATGATCTAATATGCATCAGAAGTTAAAAACTTGTAATGATCTGATACTTGTCAGAACTTAAGTTAGCTACTTAAAAGCACCATTCTATATACAGAAGATATGCAGACCAAAGACAAACAAATAGTATCCCAACAATTTGAAATAATCACAAAAGAAGCTGCAATGGAAATGGAAATGGAAATGGAAATGGAAATCCATCAATTGAAGATACGAGAAAAAAATTATTTGTGATGTGTGTTACAAAAATAAATATTACTAAGCATCCATTATCTCAATTAATCAGTAATATTTGGTTAGAAATCATTTTCAGGACAGATAAAGTTGGAGGCAAGCATGCAACTAAGCATCACATGCCTCAATCCTATATGAGACATGACATATTTGTATCTCATAATTCAATCCCAGACATGAGATCAACATTTCATATGCTTGTATCAAGTATCAGGGCTTCAGACATAAAATTACTCACAAGATTTGATTTTATTGATGCATAGGAATCCAAAAGAATTATTTCTTCATCTGACTGCTTTAGTGAAGAATCGGCTTGCAATACATCCTAAAAAAAGAACAATCAGCAACTTTGTTACTATTACAGTTACAAGTAATATCCATAAACCTTGAGCATGCTATAAAATGAAAGGGGCATGCCCTTGAAATTTTAAACTCTCAAACATGCATCAGAAAACAGGCATGAAATGAAGATCGAAGCATGAAGGGTTAAGAGTTTGCAGGATTGGCTAAAAATTGCAAGACGCAATCAATAAATTCTAAATGATGATATATCAGTGTGCAAAATTAAGAAAATAAGATATACATGACCTTACACAAGAAATTCAAACCTCTAAGCAGTAATGCTTCGACTCACACTCAATTTTTATGTTATCTATGTTATTGGCAATCTTTCAGTTGATGCAATTATATCAGGTAACCATAATCATCATCCAGAATCACAGACAAGTAGAATAGCAGAATTATAAACAAAGTAATGCAGCATTAGCACTAACAATAGGCAATGAAACTAACAAAAAAGTATATAGCAGATATTTTGACAAATGTGAAAGAAAATCAATAAGAAAAGTTTTCTATCTTTCAAGTAATTGCAAAATATGAGCTAAGGCAGCCTAAAACAAATAAGTTAATCTACCAGCTACAAACAAAAGGGAAATAGACAAACAAAGGGAAATACATGTCTCAATCCATACAGGCACATAAAACGCTTGCACAGAGATGTAAAATGTTCGGGAAGGAATTGAGTAAAACTTAAGGCATATCACCTCCTCTATACTATGCAGAAAGTGGTTTCTACCAACAAACAGTACTACTGCTCTACACTGAGGACAGAGCACACTTGAATGTCTTTTTTGCGATCTCCTCAACCATTCTGAAAAGCATCCATTGCTGAGTTGCACAGGACAAGTAGATTATAAATCAACAAGTCAATTCTATTCTATTAAAAAGAAGCCATAAAATAAATTACGAACCAGAAGTTATGAAGACAAGGAGCAACAGTAACAACATCATGCCAGACGTTTAAGCAAATGCTGCATTTTGCATGCTCAGCATCTATATTGACCTGGTGGAGAAAAACCAAAACCAAAGAAGAACATCAGCACACTTGTGGTTGGCAATGGCTCACCAGAAGAAATTTAAAGATTCCAAATATGATTAATCATTCACCTTTAACCATCTCGTGAAAGACTCTCGAGGCATTAGTTTAAATCTGTAGCTCAAATATCCTAGAGATGTAAGAAACAAAAAGGCCTTTTTATAAGAGATAGTCAGTATCAAATGGGAAACAATTGCATTCCAGAAGCATATTCTCAACAAAAACTCAGCCCCAGATGATTAAATATCCCAATTGGAAGTGCATCTCAAACCTATCCAATTGTCAATTACACCAAGTAAATTTATGCATCCCATAAAAAACATCAAGATAATGTTGTCGCTAGAGGAATCAGAGATCAAATTACATTGTAATGTGACCATATGGAAGAAACTAAACTTATCTCTAATTCTTTTTTAAACAAAAGTAGAATACAATGCTGGGTGGGCTGTTCCAGTTACCATCAAGATAAAAACAATAATACCCAAGTGAGGTTAAACAAAAGTACAGACATGTAATTGAAGAAGTTGTGTTTTCTGAAACTTACCTCCAGATAAATTGACAATATGAGTAAAAACAATTTTTATTGGCTGCAGTATCTATTCAAGTAAATTATTTTAAAGAAGAAATAATAACATTAAAACAACGTAAAAACTTTCTGACCTTCTCTGGCAGGGCCAGGAATAATTTCACTTCCACAATTTATCACTACATTATCTTCATTTTGGACAGTGACCTCATCAACAAGTATTGTATTTGAGCTGTATCAGAAACAACAGACAGCAACCAAAGCAACAGAATTTGAGAATCTCTGATCAACTAAAAGATGCATGTATCGGTCAATAGTTAAGAGTGATATGATTCATCATTCAGAAAACTAGCATTCAAAATCTCCTATCACCATGGTTACTCCAATAAATTAATTGTCTTTTGGATAGTGGAAAAATGATTTGCTAATCAATAGGGGCAAAAGTCATATCACCAGCCTTAATGGACTTAACTACGGTACTAAAGACAGAATGTTAGTAATAACTCAAAAAAGACAATGAGCTTAACTTTATAATTGGCTTACGAATATCTGCAATTAAAAAATAATGCTTGGATCAGTAAAGCAGCTCTTTGTCTCCTACAAGAAGACAACGTTTTGCCTGTGATTTAATCAATTGTCTTGTAATTCAGTCAATAGTATAGAAATTCATGTTTTAGATTCTCAGGTGGGTTGTTACTAATGATATCAATATCTATAAATAAAATCAACTTATTCATGATATCAGAAAATAAATATAATTTTTAACTAGTAAATACATATCACCTCTTATTTTGCATCATAGCAGAACTTTGATCTGAGTTCCTTGTTATTTTGCACCATTCATGCTTCTCAAGAGAAGAAGATGTAATCTCTGAGCAGATTACCATCTCATTTGACCTTATCTCAACATCAGAATATCTCGAGTCAGATGGTACTGCAACAAAGAATAAATCAATTAATTTTCAAAATCCCAAGTCAGAAAAGTTTGCTGTCAAACCCTTTAGTTTATTCTCTTTGCTTTAAAAGTTTGTGTTGCAAATGATTGAATGCAGCTTTTTCAATAAGGAAAGAACGCATATGATTCTCAGCATCCACATTATCAACCAGAATTGTCTATAAATTGGAGATGCGATGAAAATGCTATCATTTATATAATTGAACAAATCTAAGGCTCCAGTATTGGCAGTTCAAACTTCTAAAGAACCCCAATTCAAAATAGGAACTCTATAGTATTTCATGCTATGTTAATCACGAAAAGGCTAATGTTCATAACAAAAGGTGTTGAATTAACCAAAAAGGTTTCTTTTTACCATTCGTGATTTATGTTAAAAAAGACTCCTACTTTCTAATTCCAATATACTCGCACTACGATCATATTCACTCGCATTCAAGAAAAATACTTAAGTACAGTAACAATCCCTCCACAAACATGCAAGCTCAAATACATTAACAGAAGCATTAAATTGAACTTCCAAAAAAACATTAGAAGCAACGATGAATTAAGAACCCAAACCCAAGAAAGTTTCTTTGTTAAATTTCCCCATCTGGTTTCTCTCGATTCAATTTAACTTCCAAAAAAATGTCAGCTTCAACACTAAAATGCACTAAAAACAGTTTCTATAAACATTTTATAGGGAAACAAACAGAGGATAACACATGAAACAACACTAAAACTGTTGAAATAAAGATGAGGAAAATACCAAGTTTGGCCCAGGCTTCATCGGAGGAGGAGGAGGAGGAATTGGAACCAGAAGAGCATTCACCAAATTCCATTGATTGCTTTCTTTAAATGGTTTTATTTTTAACTCAAAAAGAATGAGTAAAGTTTGTGTCTTTGGAAGAATTTTGATTTCTGGGTTTGGAATTTTGATTTTCAGAATTCATAGAGACGGAAGAGAAGGGAAGAAGCGTGCATAGGAAGGAGATGTATCCATCGAGTTATCTCAACACCTTTCTTCGCTAAAAAGTAATTTCTTTTATAAAGTGAATTTAAAAAACAAATTACTAAAAAGTTGTTTCTTTATAAAAAATAAATTTCAAAAAAAATAAATTCTAAAAAAATAAATTATTTTTTAATATTTTGTAGTGTAATAAAAAATAAATTAAAAAATATTTTCCAGTATTTAGTTATATTATAAAAAATAAGCTGGAAAATAACTTATTAATATTTTATTTTTTTTCAAGTTTATTAAGATAATAAGAAAAAAAATCTTATAAATTAAAAGGTTGAATGAGAATAAAATTAAAAAAATTATTTTATAAATTATTTCAAATAAAATAAATAATAATCAAAATAACAGAGATAAAATCTAAAAAATAAAAGATGAAGAAATTAAAATAATAATAATTAACATTTCATAAATTATTTCAAATAAAATAAATAAC